ACCTCACCAAGATGTGTAGCTTCCTATAACGTTTTTAGATGATCTCACTGGTGGGTTTTTTTTTACTGTTTCGTTCACAAACAACCAGTAAGAGTTACAGCCTATAGACTACTTTAAACGGGTAGTCTTTAGTTGTTATTTTTATGTAATTTCCGAAGGACTAATATGAATGTGCTTGTTAAAGACAAAAGTTATTGCAAAAAGAAAAAATACACTTGTCACTGACAACACTTCTGCACCAAATACAGTTTGCCTTATTTCAGGATCTTGTGATATCGACAGCAGAAAAATGCTTTCTCCAAAATGTTTTATGTTGATTATAAGCCTTAGCCATTCGTTTGCATGACCCATACTAACATCGTACTTTACAATTTATGGAAAATCACAGTCTCCTCATCAGTCAGTCAGTTGCAACGTAGAAGATAGTACCTACGTACATCAGTTCAAGTTTTCAGACCGAATCCCAGAGTAATAGAGGTAGTAACGGTATCAATGATAAGACAACATCGTTTGTTGAGGTAATCGGTGTTTGGGCATACATAATAAACGTCGGAAACACTTCAATTGATGGAGATTCACCAAGTCAATTTTTGATTTTCCATCCTTACCTAGCACTCTATTCCTAATTCTAGCATCTCTTACTCAGTGGTTGCAGGATATACAAGCAATCTTTCCAAGACATCTATCATCAAATACAAGTAACCTACGAATATATATTCTTAATTGCCATGTTTCACACCCTTAATGTAGAATGGAGCGAACTTCTGCTCAGTAAACTCATCCTTTGGTTAGTAAACTGATATTTCATTTACGCTACAAGTAATCTAGGTTGGCTCACGTTAACTGAGATTTCTGAGTGCACGTTGAGATTTCTTCAGACACCCACTCACCATAGCTACTACTGGAAACGAAGTGAGGGTTTTTTAACAAAATATTGATGGAAAATGGGTGTCCTCTAGAATTCATTAATCGATTAAAAGGTCAGTGTAGTGTGATCTACTATAGCTTTGGTGTTTAATAATAAGTTGAGCCCACATGGCTTGTCCTAGATTTTAGAAAATTTATTCAATCTATCCGCGAGTCATTGCTCACACGTATTTTGACCTTGTCAAATAGTCGCTTGTAACCTTGGTTGTTTTTTACTTGAGCGTGTGTGCATTGTTCACTTAGTTTGTCACACATCTAGCCTATTTTTGTCTGACTATTAATACTTAGTCAGGCCTCATCGAGTTGGCTTACTCGCCTTCTCCGCCCCACTTTGCTGCGTTTCGCGTCCTGTTGTTTGTCTGCTTACGCGGATGTATGAAATAAATTAATCCACATAAAACCGTCTTGGGCTTTTAATAACGGCGTTTGCATAAAGGCAATTTGCCTGAGAACAAAACACAGAAATTAGAAGAAACGTTTATTTCATAACATATTCAATCGTTCGTCCAAATTGTAGTTAGATCCCTGGACACTAAAAACTAGAGGAACAAGTGTTCTTACTTATATATATATATATATATATCCTGCACCTGTACTACCACTCCTACTATGGGATTTATCTGGAATTAATCTTATCTCATTGGGATATGACAACTATGGACTGATGTACGTGTCAGGTTCTACGTTGCTTTTGTCTGATCGACCTTGTCGGATAACATATCATACTACTGCATGGTATATCAGGGGCTCAAATACTTATTTTGTATTGTTGTTTTCTAAATTTTTTCCATTCAGGGTAACTACGATCAATATGTGCGTACAAGGTGCGAGTTGGAGGAAAATCAAATGAAACGGTTTAAATGGGAACAAGATCAGATTGCTTCAATGAAGGTAGGTTAACATAACTAATTTTAGAGTCATAAACTTCATTCCAACTTTCGTTACTTTTAATCGTTGGTTCGACACTAAAGTTTTAAGTTTAGTGAACTGCATGGTAAAAATAACTTAATGGTATTTTGCTCTGAATTCTTTTAAATTCTATCTAGGACTACATAGCCAGATTTGGACATGGAAATAAAAAAATGGCACGTCAAGCACAAAGTAAAGAGAAAGTCTTGCAAAAAATGGTAGCTGGTGGGTTAGCTGAACGTGTTGAAGGAGATAAAACGCTGACATTTTATTTTCCCGACCCGGGTAAAATACCACCACCTGTTATTCAAGTTCACCAAGTTAGCTTTCGATATGGACCAGATAAAGTAAGACTAAGTATTGTTATAGTGATTTTTTGGCCAATCTTAGCATTTCTTGCTTAATGCATTTTCTGTGTTAAACGACAACATTTAAGTGTTTTGATGCTGTGACTAGTGACTATAATCGTAACAAAATAACACCGTTTAAGGATATTTGCATTACGGGGTTGTGAAGATTGTTAAGTTACACATTTTTGAGACCATGAACCGATCAATGTTAGACCACCATTAGAAACCTGGAAGCACTGAAAGACGGCCGTTTCGTCCTAGTGTGGGACTCCTCAGCAGTGCGCATCCACGACTCCTGCACCTCGCAGGATTCTTCTATTTGTCTATTATGAATTTGCTGTGTCGTTAGTATATTCTTTTTTTTTTTTGAAACCTGATTATGAATCATCAACATGCAAGTGTTGTACAGTTTTATAGCTCCTGCTTGGTCATGGGCCTGAGATTAACGGGTTATTATTAGGCTACTTAGTATTTAAAATTGCTTTATGACAAATTTTAGATATCGTAAATGATACTGCAAATATTTCATTTCATAAAATGATCATCATATGCAGTAGACTACTCTAATAAAAAATAAATGTTTCGTTTGATATTTTTTTTTTTTTTTTCATTTCGCCTGTTACCCCCAATGGAGCATAGGCCGCCCACCAGTTTTCTCCAACCAACTCTGTCCTGGGCTTCTTCCTCCAGTTCTGTCCAATGTTTGTTCATTCCTCTCATATCTTTCTCTATTTCACGGCGTAATGTATTCTTTGGCCTTCCTCTTTTCCTTTTGCCTTGAGGGTTCCATGTGAGGGCTTGTCTCGTGACGCAGTTAGGTGCTTTTCGTAGAGTGTGTCCTATCCACTTCCACCGCTTCTTCCTGATTTCCTCCTCCACTGGAATCTGACTTGTTCTCTCCCACAGTTCGTTGTTGCTGATGGTGTCTGGCCAACGAATACGAAGTATTTTACGTAGACAGCTGTTAATAAACACTTGTATCCTATGGATGATGGCTTTGGTAGTTCTCCATGTTTCCGCTCCATACATTAGAACTGTCTTGACATTTGTATTGAAAATCCTTATTTTGGTGTTGATTGATATCTGTTTGGAGTTCCAGATATTTTTCAACTGTAGAAATGCCGCCCTTGCTTTGCCAATCCGTGCCCTCACATCTGCATCCGATCCACCTTGATTGTCGATGATGCTGCCCAGATATGTAAAGGTGTTAACGTCCTCCAAGGCATCTCCATCAAGAGTGATTTGATTGGTGCATGTTGTGTTGCATCGGAGAATTTTGCTCTTTCCTTTATGTATGTTGAGACCTACTGCTGCAGAGGCTGCTGCTACACTGATCGTCTTCTCTTGCATTTGTTGTTGAGTGTGCGATAGAAGAGCCAGATCATCTGCGAAGTCCAGATCGTCCAGCTGCGTCCTAACTGTCCAGTTGATACCGTGCTTCCCTCCAGCTGTTGACGTTTTCATAATCCAGTCGATCACCAGGAGAAAGAGAAAGGGTGAAAGTAAGCAACCTTGCCTGACACCGGTCTTTACCTCGAAAGAGTCGGTTAGCTGTCCTCCGTGCACGATTTTGCAGTTGAATCCATCATAAGAGTTCCGTATGATGTTAACTATTTTCTCAGGCACCCCGTAGTGTTGAAGAAGAGTCCACAGTGTTTTCCTATCCACGCTATCGAATGCTTTGTCGTAGTCGATGAAGTTGATGTAGAGTGGTGAGTTCCATTCAATTGATTGTTCCACAATGATCCGTAATGTAGCAATTTGGTCAGTACACGATCGATCCTTCCGAAATCCGGCCTGTTGATCTCGAAGTTGGGCGTCAACGAAGTCCTTCATTCTGTTTAACAATACCCTGTTGAAGACTTTGCCTGGTATTGAAAGAAGAGTGATGCCTCTGTAGTTCTCACACTTGCTCAGGTCGCCTTTCTTTGGTATTTTGATCAGGTATCCTTCCTTCCAGTCTGATGGTACTTGTTCCTCATCCCAAATCTTCTTGAAGAGGATGTGAAATATTTTCGCAGTTGCTTCCACATCTGCTTTCATTGCCTCTGCTGGAATGTTGTCTGGTCCTGCTGCTTTGCCGCTCTTGATTTGTCTGATGGCCATACTGATCTCCTCAATCGTAGGTGCGCCAATATTAATTGGGAGGTCCGTGGATGCTGCTTCGATGTTGGGTGTCTTCAGAGGAGCTGGTCGATTTAGGAGTTCCTTAAAGTGCTCTACCCACCTATTTCGCTGTTGTTCAGTGTTGCTGATTACTTTGCCTTCCTTGTTTTTCACTGGTCGTTCTGGTTTACGATAGTTCCCGGCGAGCTTCTTTGTAGTTTCATACAATTGTCTCAAGTTTCCGTCTCTTGCAGCCTTTTCCGCCGTCATTGCTAGATCTTCCACGTATTTTCGTTTGTCAGCTCTGATGCTCTTCTTCACTTGTCTGCATGCTTCTGTGTATGCAGCTTGTGCGGTAACTTTCTCTGCTCTTGTTCGGCTGACATTGATTGATGCCTTCTTGTTCCTCCTTTCTTCAATTTTTGCGAGAGTATCAACAGAGATCCATTCCTTATGATGCTGCTTCTTGCGACCAAGGACCTCCTGACATGTTGAAGTGATTGCCTCCTTAATCCCTTTCCAATTGTTCTCCAATGTTGTGTCCTCTCCATTGTGTAGATCCTGTAAGGCCTAGAACTTATTGGTGAGGGCTATCTTGAATTCGTTGAGCTTTACAGTATCCCGAAGAAAGGCTGTATTAAACTTCTGTGATGTTGTCTGTCCCGTTGTCCAGTGCTTCTTTAGTTTCAGTTTCACTTTGGCGATTAGCAAATGGTGATCTGAGGCTACATCAGCTCCTCTCCTGGTTCTCACATCCTCCATAGTCCTTCTGAACGTTTTGTTGATACAGATATGATCAATCTGGTTTTGAGTAGTGTGATCCGGTGAAATCCATGTGGCTTTGTGAATGCGTTTGTGCGGGAATATTGTGCCACCGATGACCAGTTTGTTGAAGGCACATAGGTTTGCAAATCTCTCACCGTTTTCGTTCCTTTCTCCCAGTCCATGTCGTCCCATGATGTCTTCATATCCAGTGTTGTCCATTCCAACCTTGGCATTCAGGTCTCCCATAAGAATCGTCAAATCCTTTGGTGAACATTTCTCGACCATTGACTGCAGCCTTTCGTAGAATTGATCTTTAACGTCGTCATTGTAGTCATTGGTAGGTGCATAACATTGGATGACGTTCATTGCAATGTCCTGTTTCTTTGTTTTGAAGGATGCTTTAATGATCCTGGGTCCATGAGATTCCCATCCTATTAGTGCCTTTTGTGCGTGTTTGGACAGCATCAGTGCAACTCCTTGTGTATGTGAAGCGTTTTCCTCTTCATGACCAGAGTATAACAGCAGTTCCCCTGAAGCTAGTCTCAGTTGTCCTACTTGTGTCCAATGTGTTTCACTGATTCCAAGCACCTCGAGGTTGTATCTTCTCATTTCTGCCGCAACTTGAAATAGTCTTCCAGTCTCCCACAATGTACGAACGTTCCATGTACCTAAAAAAATGGTTGCTCTGGTTGTCAGAAGAGGCATCAGCCCCGTGACTTCCGAGGGAACCCGGCTTTCATCACGCGACGTCATAATTCTTCCTCCAACTCCCAGGGCAGAGTTAAAATGGTTTGAATTATTTTTTCTGGTTAGCGTTTTTTTGGCAAGTTAGTTTTTGACGGAATGGGGTCGCCAACCCCATGTCCAACCCTCCTCCTTTACCCGGGCTTGGGACCGGCAGTAGCCCCGAAGGTTCTACTGGCGGAGTTTTCGTTTGATATAGTTACATTTAAACCATTGTTTAGTGGTTTTACATATCTTCAATCAAAGAACTCAGAATCTGTCGCAGTGTTACTAAAATATCCATTCTTAATGTGCTTACAGAATTTTCACTCTTCGATTTCCTTTGAACGTTTTGAAGTATTCAGTTTACCACTACTTTGATTTACATTTAATTCCTGATTTTCCTGTTTCTGCACTAAAACTAATAAATCAACTTGAAATGTTAGTCTTTGTACTGGGTCACAGGTTAATGATGCTTGTCTAGTTAACTTAAAGTATCTTCATTTAATGTCTCTCGTCGCTGTTCATTTATTCAACTTAATCGAAGAGCATACTCGAGAAAACTAGGCAGGTTTCAGACCTGGATGTGTGGTACTACAGACCAGATATTCACGCTGTCAGGTCCTAGAACATAAACATACGTTCATATGTCCCACAGTTGTAGTATTTCTCGACCTTAGAGCGGCATGTGACTCTGTTGGTCTTGAGGATCTATGACTGTCTGTCACTGAAAGAAGTGTCAGATAATTACAATAACCTTACACGAGCTTTCTACTCGAACACTACTAGTCGAGTGAGAGCTTATGGCAAATTGTCGTCGCAATTCATTACTTCGAATTCTGTCCGTCAGGGATGTCCACTCTCCCCACTCTCGTTTATTTTTATCATTGATATACTTTTAGATACGACAGTTTCACTATTTCACTTTTCCGGAGTTGAACTTTTACGGGGTGATTCGCTTGTTGACTTAGAGTATGCTGATGACATAGTTCTATTCGGTGAAGACGCTGACAAAATGCAGTCTTCTGACTACCCCAAGCAACAGTGCAAGCATGTTCGGGACTCGCTTTCCCCCCTCGAAATGCAAAATGCTGCCTTAAGATTGGCTTGCGTCGGTATTTGAGCTAGTGATAGAGAGTGAAGTAGTTGAGCATGTTGACCGCTTCACTGATCTTGAGAGTCTCATCAGTGCTGATGGCCTGGTGACTGACGAAGTCTCAGCACGGATACAGAAAACTCGATTGGCTTTTGCCAACATCCGTCACTTATGGTGTAGGCGAAATATCCGTTCGCTAACCAAAGGACGAGTGTACTGCGTAGCAGTTCGCTATGTCCTAGTATATGAATGCAAAACATGGCCGGTTAGAGTAGCAGACATTCGTGGGTTATTAATATTCGATTGTAGATGTCTTCAGAGCATTGCTCCACTATTCGCCAAAGTGGAAGACATATAGTACAAC